TTTTTTTGTCTTTTTTTTTTTTTTTTTTTTTTGAGATGGAGTTCTCACTGTGTAGCCCAGGATGGCCTTAAACTCAAGGTAATACTCCCTCTTCAGTCTCCTGAGCCTTGGGATTACAGACATGCACTACCATGCCTGCCTTGATCTGGCTTATTACTTAGACCTTTCACAAATAATATGTGCATCAGAATCTTTATATCTTTATTATAGCTCTTATCTTACTGTATTGTGATTTTTTAAAAGTATGTCTACCTGGGCCTGAGATTTAGTTCAGTGGTGCTGCTGCCTGCCTCAAACACAAGGTCTAGAGTTCGATCCCTAGTACCAAAAAAAAAAGTATATCTACCACAAAATATTATAGTTCTTAAAGCAAGAATTTTGTTTCTAAGTACATTCAGCGTTTTTCCTGTAATGTAGAAGGCACAGAGTTAATACTATATAACAATTGAATGTAAAATATGTTTCAAACTGAATTAAATTTTTCTTTATTTCTTGCTAAGGCTTCAAGTTCCCTGTAGAATTCTGAAGTAACCTTTGCTAATGAGGATGTCTGATACTATTGCTATAAAAGATGAAACTGAAACAATGAAGGATTTGGAGGCAGAAATGAAAGATAAAACTACAGTTGAAAATCTTATCAAATCAGAAAACTATGGGAAGATTTTGGCAGAGAAGAATGAACAATATGTTGACAACAGTATTGATTTGCAGGTAAACAGAATTTTTTTCTGCAGCTATAAGTACCCAATACTTAACATACTATTGTGCTACTTTTCATGTAAAAGTCATTTCTCTAAATTCTAAAAAGTTAACTGAATGTTTTAGACGTGATTACCAGCTGATCTTTTTTTAGTCGTGTGGATTAGCATGCTGAGTGTTAGCTTTTTGATTTGCTTGTATCATGTAAGATAGTTCCCTTTTTTCAAAAGCAACCAGTGTATTTTTATTGGCTTTCTACTTTTTCGTATCATGCTCCCCCTAACTACGAGTGTTGTGACCCAAGAGCTCTTAGAGGAAAGACAAAGATTGAACATGCAATCGATCTGTAGATAAAACTAGCCCTCTGGGGTACTTCTCAGTCAATCACCCATGAATGAGTAAAGAGATTGGTGGGGAAATGCCATTCGATGTGATGGGGTATATATATGATGACTTAAAACTTACCATTGAGAAAGATTTTGATTACAAGCATGGATGAAAATCGAGTTGACCAATATGTTCAAGTTAGGTAAAAAGGATTTCAAGTATTTCTAGTATTCATTGTGTCTTTTATAAGATAGTTTAGTTATTTGTTAATTCAAAATGGAGAGCTGGCAATTTTTAAATAATTTTTAAAGATTGTTTGGATCAGGAAATGGGGCACAGCTTTGCTGGATGAATTTTCTGTAAGGCATTCAAAGAGATCCCCTACTAATATTTAATTGGCTGGTAGACTGGCCCGGAGAATCCAGGACTGCTTCCTTCACATGTCTGGCACCATGTTTTAAATGACTGGATTCATCTGGATCTAGGAACACCTATCCTATCCTTCATTCATTCCTTCATAAACTGTTTATGCTGTTATGTGCTGCATACCATGTTAGACAATGATAACGAAGCCTTCAGCTATAAAAAAGCATTTAGACCCTGCTGATTAAGTCCTGCATAGTCAAAGGTAATTATCTAAGAAATTGGGAAATAACATTTATCCAATCATTTCAGTGATAGCACTTTTTAAAACAAAAAATTGCCATGGTTATAATCAGTACTCAGTAATGGCAGAATGCCAGGTGTCCTGATTTCATTAGAGAAATCTGGTAAAATTCTATTGCATCTTTGATTGAGAAAATAAAATATTGCATTTTAGTCTCTCTTTTACATCTAATATACATTTACCTAGGTCATGCTTATCAACAAATGATTCACTTGTATTATTCCATGCCCTACCCTCTGTTTTGTAGCCCATAGCAATAAGTGCAGGAATATTCTGATGGCCACTATCTTGTCATGGCTCCATTGTTTGTACTATAGGAAAATTTCATACATTACTAAAACATTTTTTTTCAGTGCTAGGAGTTGATTCCAGGGCCCCATGCGTGCCAGGCAAGTGCTGAACCACTGAGCTACACCCCCAACCTAACATTTATTGAAAACCTATTCTGAGCCGGGCGTGCTGGCACACACCTGTAATCCCAGCACTCAGGAGGCTGAGGCAGGAGGATTACTGTGAGTTCGAGACCAGCCTGGGCTACATAGTGAGTTCCAGGTCAGTCTCATTTACATAGTGAGACCCTGTCTCAAAATAAAAGAAAAAGAAAAACTATTCTGTGCCAAGGAAATACCATAGTAAACAAAGATATGAATGGTTTTTTGATCTCATGATCCCTGTAGCATCATGGCTTTAACAGGCTTTAAAAATTGGGAAGAAAACAATTGTATACAAAGATTCATTTTGTATTAATGTATAAAACGATATATTCACTATTTCTTAACTAGATATAAGAATATTTGAGTTTTGAAGTCTGAGATGCCTTCATCAAACATGTATGCCAAGAGCCAGGCATGGTGGCTCACACCTGTAATCCCAGCACTTGGGAGGCTGAGGCAGGAGGATTACTGTGAGTTCAAGACCAGCCTGGGCTGCATAGTGAGTTCCAGGACAGTCTGAACTACATAGTGAGACCTTGTCTCAAAAAACATGTCTGCCAAAGAGATTATAATCACAGTAATTTAGGCAGAAAACATGTGAGTAATAGAAATTGGGAATAGGAGTCAATAAAACTAGAAAGTAATTTCTCCTATGTTTTATTTAAAATAGTATAAAAAAGGGCTGGGGGTTTAGCTCAGTGGTTCTGCTGCCTACCTTGCAAGCACAAGGACCCGAGTTCAATCCCCAGTACCAAAATAAATAAACAGTACAAAAATTCACAGGTTATACCTCAGCAGAGAATCATTTTTTAATTGTAAAAGATATTTCTAGGATATGGCACTCTTTCTATTGAACTTGGGTAGTATGCACATGTGATAGCACTTATAACCATGTTTTCCTTTCAGAGTGCTTTACTGTGACATGGATAAAGATGTTCATACATGGTGTAGACATAGAAATGCTGTTACATACTAATTTTTACTTCAGTGATTTTCATGTATATCACCAGTAAGATGGGAAACTGGCGTGTCTGAGTTTTTCTGAGAGTCAGACCAACGCCTCTGGATTTTAAATCTCTGTGTATGGCCCAAAGGTTTAAGTGGTAAAAACAAACTACTGCAGTGGTGGTGAGCCTCTGACACACATGTTATTTGTTTTTCTTTTAAGATAAAAGATATTAATGTATGAGTTGTTGTTTTTTTCTAAATAACGCATCAGTATTCAGGTTTAATTTCAACGTTGGCACTTTGTGGTAAATACATGGGTTTTGGGTTGCAGTTTGGGCTCTGGTCTCCAAAAGGTTTGCCATCACAGTGGCTGTTTAGTTTGTTCACTTTTTTTTTTTTTTTTTAAGGGTAACAAAGTTTACTTGAAAGAGTAAGTGAAGAGTGTGGGAGAAACCGGCTTTGCACAGTGCACTTGGGCCAAGGAAAAGAGGATAAAACAGATAAAAATACACCCTGGAGAATATAGGTTGGGCTATTGTGAGGAAAGTCATGAAAGCCTCTTGGCTTTTTTTTTTTTAAGTTACCTCTCTTGAATCAGAAACTTTGATTTCTGTTATTTCAGTAGAAACTAGCAACGTGGTATCTATTGTTTTTAACTGCCCCAGACCTATACCTAGACATTTAACTCATTATAATCTTCCATTGAATTAGCAACAATCCTTACTAGAACAATACTGAAAATTAGTGAGCTCTTCAAGGTGAAAGGTTTCAGCTTATTTTGTTCATAGTAATAATTGCATATAAAAACTTGCTTTTGAAATAAGTTATATTTTCTCTTGAGTGATATTTATCAGCAGTTATTTTTATGTTACTACATTGTGTAACCCATGATGAGTACTCTGAACTTAGTTTTTCACCAAACTAATAGCTGGTGGCTCTGACAGCCTATTAATATCAGCTTCAAACTGATGTTCTGTTAAAAATGTTTCATATTCTGCACCTATTTGTTGCCCTGTTTGTCCTGTATTTTATTATAGAACAATGTCAAGTACAAATTTGGGGCTTTGTCCTCTGTACCTTCTTATAAATTCTAATTTAATTAGCATTTCTGAACTAGTAAAGGTCTCTGAAACAAGCTGCTATAATTTTACTATGACATTGAAGTTCTACTAAAGGTGAAAAGTGTGCTCCAAAGAAATAAAAGTTTATATTTAAAATAATTGTATGTCAGAGTGGGAGAATTCCTACTTTAAGGCCAATTCTGGTTACCAAACTGATAGCACAAACATGAAATAAAGGGTAATTTAATAAACAATTTGTTTCCTCTGTTGTATGTGCATGTATATATGGTAGATTTCCCGGTATATATATTTTTTCTAGTATATATTATGTAAGTTCTGTTCTTTGCTATTTGAAATGAAATAAGTAATTATATTGAATAATGCCACATAGGCATTTTATAATTTACTTTGTTAGTAATATGTTTTCTCATACTGTGTAACCAATTACTGCTGATTTAGAGGATTAAAACACCCATTTATCCGTTCCCAGTGGATTTGGCTGTGTTCTATGCTTAGGGTTTTATAAGGCCCAATTCAAAGCCGTTAGGCTGAACCCTATTCTAAAGAATCAAGGGAAGAATTTGCTTTAATGCTTATTCTGGTTGTTGAAAGCCCTCTGTTTCTTGCAGCTATTGGTCTTAAGTCCATGTTTCAAACTGGTTTTCCAGCTTTCTGCTTCTAAAGGCTACCCGTAGACCATCTCAGAAGTTCTTTCTGTCTTCAGAGCCAACACTAATATGAATCTTTTGAATTTGACCTGCCCTTTGCTTCCAACCAGAGAAAACTCAGCTTTTAAAGGGCTCACATGATTGTCAAACTTGAGTCTTAAATTTGCATCTACGGTCAGTTTACTTGGGCTTAGTTATCTCTGTAAAAATTCCTATACAGCACTACTTAGCATTTGGTTAAATAGCAAGAGGATAGGAGTCTTTTGAGCTATCTTTAGAAGTCTGTCTAACACACATTTGTAATCCACAATAAAAACAGTTTTTTAAGTGTGATGATATAATGTGCACTGCACCAAGATTCTGAAGCTCTTGAGTTCTATTGAGCTATTTAGAAACTTATTCTAGACTTCAAGGTCCTTGAGACCATTATATGTATGTCTTATTCATTCTTCATATCCCTGGTGCCTAGCAAAATTTTTGGTTTATAGGAGAATCTCAGAACATACTAGTTACATGAAGTCAAATTAAGGCAATTCTACATCTTTTGTCTTTGCTTACCTAAGAACAACATACTTTATCATCTTCATTTTACAGATTTAAAAAAACAGCATCTGCTGCATTAAGTAACTTATCTTTATTTCTCAAGGCTAGTAAGCCAGAAGTAGGACATTGATTTTCTAACATCTAGTATTTCATGGTTTAAAAGCCTTACTTTTTTTTTTTAATCCGCCCATTCATTGAGTCATTTCAGTGTACTGTGAATTACTACAAATAGTATGAACTCTTATTTTTTGTTTTGTTTTGTTTGTTTGTTTGTTTGTTTGTTTTGCGGTACCAGGGATCAAACCCAAGACCTTTTGCCTGTGAGGCAGGTGGTGATGCCACTGAGCTGATTCCCTGGCCCAGTAAGAACACTTGTACAGATTAAACAAATAATTTGATAAGGATCACCTACTAGTAAGCAGAAATTTAAGTCAAGCTTTTCTGTATATGAGTACAATGTTTTGCTACTTAATTCTATTATTTTAGACATTTAATATATTTTACCCTGTCGATTCTTAAAATGCAAAGAATTAAAGCAAAGGACAAAAGTCACACATTCTTTCCATCTAGTCATGTGCATTTTCCTACTATTTGTTATTTTTCTCCTACTTTTTTTTCTTTTAAGACTTGGCTCTATGGTAGCATAACTTCTTTTACTTCTGTTTTTAAATGTGAATTACACACAGTTAGAAATCCTCTTTACCAAATTAAATAAGAGCAAGTATTAAGAAAAGGCAGTACTAACGTGCAGATGGCCCTCTAAGGCAGCACTGCTGTGTGTGCTTGTGTGCACATATGTGCATATACTATATATGCATATTATTTCTTCTGTAAGAAATAGTCACTTTTCTTTCTCCTTTTTTCCTTTTGTAATTTTCCTTATTGATTTGGTGATCCATGGTAAAAATCCTAATACCATGCTTCTTGTCTTTAAAGGTCTTTGGACTCTTACCTAGGAGCATAACATCGTGGTACTATATATTCTCATTTCTGTTGGCTTTACAAACAAGGCCCTTTTGGATGTTAGAATAAAGTGGTGATACTTTTTTTTTTTTATATGCAAAGCCTACTACTAGTCTATTAAAAATTTTTGTCTGCTTTGTGTCTAGAACCAAACTGGCTCCTGGTGTCAATGAATGTAAAGGATAGCTATCTGGGCCCTGTACCATTTGGGGTTGGGTTTGGAGTGGTCGATTAGAAGGAAAGTATTTAAAGAATATTTAAAATCTTATCGGGTTCTGATTGACGGGACTTTGACTGGTTTCCCAAACCGAAGCCTGGTATGAAACTGTAGAGCTAGTTGCCTGAATGGTTTCCTCAATTGTATGACGGATAATCTGTTGGTGATGTTAACCATCTGTTGTGGAAGTATGCCCTCTTCCCTTCGTTTGCAGTCGCCTTACTCCAGACCTGGCAAGTAGTATTCTATCACTAATAAACTAGCGTTGTACTTCACACGTTTCCAAAAAAACTCAGTAAATGTGTAGCTGAATTCTCTTTGTACATTTGAAAAATCTCCTTGATAAGGTTGGAACTTTTTTGAGCCCAGGAAGGTTTTTTTCCCCCCAGCAAGTTTAAATTGCAGAATTGGATGTGGTTTTCTGCCCCTTAACCTTGGCTAAAGTGTAATATACTATAAAATACTGAAGAAGGAAAGTATATTTTATTTTACTATTAAGGAGTCACCTTTTAAGTTCTGTTGAGTTCAATTAACACAAAATTTGCTGGTTTTAAAAAGCCACCCAGCTGGGCGTGGTGGCACACCCCTGTAATCCCAGCACTAAGGCTGAGGCAGGAAGATTGCTGTGAGTTCAAGACCAACCTGGGGTACATGGTGAGTTCCAGGTCAGTCTCAACTACATAGAGACCCTGTCTCAAAAAACCACAAAAAAAAAAAAAAAACCACAGCCACCCTACAGAAGCAAGTGTGCTTTTGGGAGGAATCAGTCAATACTCTTCTCTGAAACCAACTTTGATCTCCTCATTTTGTCTACTTTGTGCATAGTTTTTCCTGTAGTTTAGGCTTATGAATTAAGAAGCAAGTCTTCTGTCTCAGTATAAAATTTAATATAAATCTTTCTTGTTGTGTGTTCAGCGGCCACTGCAGTCATTTGGACAGACAGGAAAAAGGTCTAAGGTATAGTAAATATTTTGGTGTGCTGGCATGCCAAGGGCCCTCCTTCATGCTTGATGAATCCTTGTTTTCATATAGCACTACATTCAGTTTAGTTTTTTTCATATTTTGTGTGGGGCAAAAAGCTTTTTCTTTTTAATTTGGGGATTTTTGTCTTGCCTAGTCGCTTGTGCATTGCTTTTTTTTTTATCTTTGATGGTTTTTTTATCTGTAGAGAAAATTGCTTTTTCACCATTCTTTGGGTTTTGAAGTTGGAATTATTCTCATTCTTGCTGTTGCTGTAATTTTCCTAAACTGCAGTTTGTTTACCTTCTTAACAAAAGGTTTTAGTGGTATTTAATGATATATTTAATTTGTACATTTTGTGTACTTTTATACATGGCAGAAACTTACAAAGAAATTTAGAAACTCTCTCCAAGGGGCTTTTGGATATGCCCTAGATTTATTAAATGTAGTTTTAATTATAAATACTTTTCTCTAGTCAAGCTCAAAGTTAAAGCTAGTTCGGAGCCTTGCAGTATGTGAAGAATCTCCACCACCCCCTGCAACAGAGGTATCACAGGAGAACCAGGTAAAAA